TTGACTCAGTTTAAACCATGATTAGGCCTCAAAAGTGCTTACAACATCCTGCCAATATCCCTTGAAAGTAACGAAATAGTTACGAGAAAGTGACGAAGAGGTGATAGGAAAGTATTCAGAACTGAAAGTGCAGTAAAATTAACGAAAATTTCAGCCAACACTATTCTATAATTTTAGCCAGATCATTAGACATAATAATTTAGTATCTAAGCTAGCATACAAGTGGTTTGAAACTGGTGAACTAATAGAATCTTTCTAGCTCCTCACCAGTTCTCTAATAGTTCTATAACAGTTTCTACGGTACTATCATGACGCCATCATGTTACTAAGTTGGATCCCAAATTATGTGTTTCAAGATCAGCCACAATTATAGCATAATGTCAGCCAAAATTAATCACAGATCTATTACGCTACCTGACGTGATATTTTTTTACTATATTTTAACATTAAAAAGGTAACCAAATAGGCGTGAATTCTTAATATAGAACTAGTATTCAAACTAGTATAAAGGGCCAGCACCCTCATTATAGAACCAGGTATTCAAAGAAGACTGAAAAGCCAGAACTAGCAATATAGATTTTATTATGTAAATGGATTAGAAACAAGAAGAAAGTAGTCACTATTAGATCATTACATCACCATTAAATTAAAGTACTACCAGTTACCATTAGACTATGAAGTTACTATCATATTATATAGGAAACAGTTGAAACAATGCTATAAATGCAAAGGAGCTACCCATAAGTAGGTTATGAAGTCACTATCAGAATATGGATAGTAGGTTATGAAGTTATCACAAGATTATGTAATTAGATTATGATATCACCATTATATTATGAAATTACCAACAGACTATGAAGATACCATTATATTATGAAGTTGCCGGTAGTCTATGAAGTTACCAACAGACTATGAAGTTACCAGCAGACTATGATATTACCTTCATAACCTAATCTAAATCGCATATGATTTCATAATATAATTATATTATGAAGTCACATGCGACTGCTGTAAATGTGTTATTCAATGAAGAATTTCAAATTCTATTTGATAGTTTAGAGCATGGAATTACAAAAACCTTAGAATCCTTTCAAAAATAGTTTTTACCATAGCTTCATTTACCATTAGCAGTTTGTCAGCTTAGAGGGAATAAGTGCACAATCATTTACATTTAGCTTTTATCATGTGATTCTCTAAAAACCTTGGATCTCTCCACCTTCTGATTTGGAATTGCGATTTGCTTAGGATTTGGAAGATGACAAAAATAATGGAATAACAAATAACTTTGGTTTAAGTGAATTGCTATGTCAAAACAGTAGTTTTCTTGAAGAATTTATGCAATTTTGCATTTGTGACGATCTAATATATCATTTTCCCACTATTTATAATTTCGTTAAGAATCATATTTATTATATTGTCATCCACCAGCAGCAAGTCAAAGGTCTTTTTAACAAGCTTGATCTGAAAACACATGCAAACATGTCATTATCAATGAAACAATCAAAGCTTCGCTTGTCATCAAGCAAGATCTCAAAAGAAAATTTGGCTAGTGAGTTAAAAGAGATGCGAAAACAAAGAAATGAAACAAAAAAAACTCCACTTCAGGAAACACAATTTCAGCTATCTGGATCTGATATTGCATCAAAGATTTTTAAACAATTAATTTGTAATAGTAGTTAAAGCTTTAATTTGTATTGCTATATACTGTAAAATAAATCAATAATATTGCATGATATATCGTGATTAATTTATGAACCGGAAAATTAACCAGTTTTCGGAAGTAATTCCGGTTTCGGACACATTATATTTTATGTAATACAAAAAAGATTCAATAGTAAATTTTACTATAGGACCATATATAGTTTTGTTAAACTATGTTGACCGAACACCAATGCGACATGTCTGGCGTATGATATGTATACCCAATTTTTCGGAACCTCATGTGATCAACAAAATTTGCCATAAATAATGATCGACATACACTCCACCGGGCTACATTTTATATGTTTTTGGTTTCCTTACTGTCCCTTATTTCTCTGGTAACCATTAATGTCATATTATGTTGCCTGTGGTAATATTTTTTTTTTTTTTCAAGGGAAATTATACATAAATTTAATATTTAGAAAAGAACAATACGGTGCGCCCTAATTCCTCTACGCGGATCTGGCTAAGTGCAAGCATTTTGTGATTTTAAATTAATTAAAGAGAATGTTCTTTGATTTATTTTTACCATTGATGTAATTATTTAATAAACCAAGTTACGATACTCTCCCTTCTCTAATAATATAAAAAGATAATGCGTTACATTTAATCATTCTGTTTATTTTGTAATCCAAGTTTACTAAACCTGTTTATGCATTAAAATCAGAATCGCTAAAATATTTATTATTTGTAATTTTCGAATTTATTTCGACGACGATTCAATTTTTATGTATATTTGCTTATTTTTTTTTTGTGCGATTCTAAATGAATTTTCATTCGAATATAGTTAGAACTTGGGCCTATAGATATTACAGAAGATACTCTAAAGTGGTGTGATGTAAACAAAAGCTGCTTTATATTTTTATATTTATCCTGCAACTTCTGTACCTAGCGAATACCTTTCGATTATTATTAAAGAAGTTTTTTTATTTTAAATACTTGGTGATAAAGTCACCAATAAACAAAACAATGTTTACATCAGAAATAATATATTTATTTATTGAAGAAGATAAATATATACTATGTCCTATAAAAAAAAAAAAAAAATATGAAAATAATGAATGAAAAAAGCACTATATTTGCTAGATGTGAATAAGTTACAACATATATATAATATATAATACAATAATATCACTCCTGCTCCGTCCTAAAAAAAAAATAATAATAATTTACAATTAGGATTAAATAGTGTCAATAGACCCATACTTATTGTTAGTAGAACCATCCATCCTATCTGCCTCTTGATAAGAGGAAGAAGTTCCAGCTCTACCATCATTATCACTTGATGGTGACCTTTGTTCCTCAATAATCATCTATTTGAAAAGGAAGGAAATAAATAAATGTATATATATTAATTTTTATAATTAAAAGATTCCATAAGAAATGTCCTTATAATTTAAATAACACTTACATCAGCGGTCCATAGAGCGGCACCTACAACGTTTGTCCAAAAGAACAAGAAATTCGCAATTGGAATTAACTCAAGGGCTACAGCAACGAAACCAAATGAGATATAATCACGACGATTCTTCCAAGCGAAACTTAAAGATTGTTTAACAGTCCACTCTTTGATTTCTATATGGTAATGAATTTTGTGTCCCCATGTCATTACCCATCCGTTGACGATGCAATAAATTATTGTACCAATAACCGGAATGATATGTAATGGTAACGTAATTAAGAGTGCGATAACCTAAAAAAGTAAATATGGAAATTAAAAAAAACGAAATGTCATAAAAAAAAAAAAAAATTTGTTAAAACAAAACAAATTATTTACTTGAACCAAAATTAAAGTATAAATAGTAACGAATGCCGTTGTAAGTCCCGAAAAAAAACCTTTACAACCAACATCTGAAATTGTTCGTTTTTCCAATACATGACCCAAGCCTTTTAATCTCAAAACATCGTCAAATAAAGCGTCTTGCCATATTGGAGTTACGATTAAATAAAATATAATCGTTAAGACAACTGATTCTAACAAACAAAATATTACAGACACTGTCCAAGCAAGCCAATCTGGACAACCAGCATTAATAAGGGCATTAGCTTGAAGTGTTAATAGGAAACCAAAGGTTAAAAACAAAAATAGTATGGATACTATTAAAGTTAAGAATAGTACGCAAATAATTCTTCGAATTAGACTCAAATTCGTAAAAAAGTAAAAAATCCCTTTGATAGGGTAAGTTGAAGGTGAGCTCGCCATTTGGAAAAGATGAAAAAGATGGAAAAGATGAAAAGTGTATGATAATTTAAGATCGAATCCATCCTTTATGCTCAGGCGGAATTTGTATTACGTGTGGCTAAATACGTGTGTAATTGTCAACAATAAATTTTTCGTGTTTTCTTAGTTTCTTAGCGAACATTCTTTTGAATAAAAAAAGAGCAATCCTGATTATTTTTTTTTTTTTTAAAAAAAAAACAAACGTTACCTAAAAAAAAAAAAAAAATTCGAGCTAAAAAATGTCTATTCGTCACTTAAATTCTTTTTTTGTCTTTTTCTATGTTCTTCAACTCGTAACACAGCCTTAATGTCATGATGACATAATTTTTAGGATCACGTGATTAACGTGTAATGGATCAGGTAATGCAGAAAGATGAAAAACACCTACCATTCTATTCATTCTAGGAAAATATGACATACAACTTGAAAAAAAGTTGACTGAGTGGAACAAAAAGGCAATGTGGCGGTTACAGAACTAACTTGATATGTGTCGCTAATTTATGTGACGAGTTACTACGCCACCGTAATGCATCATGACATAATTGTTTAAAATCAAAACCTTTCAATTTTGCGAAAGGGATTATCACAAATAATATAGGGTTTTGACGCATTTAGCTCATTTGACAGGAAAAAAAAGGTAGGTCAATTTGTTACTTTAATAGGAATAAACGATCATGATATATAATTCCCCACATCTGTTTTGTAGCCTACACCGACATTCCAGCAAAATTGACTGGAAATTACCAGAATTATCATTATGCACATGTTATTAATCTAAATAATGAATAAGTGCATGATAATAGTGCACAACATTTATTATTAAAGTCTTTAAATGATCCATGATTTTAGAATAGTGAGTTAATCACCCGTTCCCTATAAGGAAGACCTTGGTAACTTTTCCTTGTTTTGGAAACACCCGAGCCGATAAAAGGGGACCAAACAGAGGTTGTGCTCATCTCATTTAAAAAAATTAAAAAAAAGAGAAAAAAAAAAAAAAGGAAAAAAAAAAAGCTAGATCAATGAACTTTTGAATTACTATATCCAATAATTCATGATTATAAACTGGAATGGAACTTAATGTGGAGACGAATGAGAAAACACAGCCAACCAATATCTTCCTTTTACAACCTAAATCAATTATTTAAATGAAAAAAAAAATGAGAATACGCGCATCAAATTTTGAATGGAACGATCCTGTTCGAGCAAGTAAGATTTGTTTGGTCAGCAGACCTCATGAGCGACAAGGTCTCGGCGTGCCCTAGCCGCAAAAGTACCATTAACATTTGAATTTTTACAAACAAATAGCACCCTTGATTTTTTGTAATTTATTTATGTACTCCTTAAATAAATCAAATATATTCTTTTAAGTGTAACCTAATTCATGATATATGCATAATATACCCAAATTTACTGTCCACCTTTTTGCCAAATCGGATCTTTTCAGCTGAAATTTACATATTATAAGATGTAGTATAACAATTTATCTGTCAGGTGGGCAACAAACATTAGAAAAAAAAAAGATGTCTTTAATTTCTTTTAATAACTTATTTCCCTCTTTCCTATCACATAACATGGAATGATTGGTTGCCATAATGTAGGCTCTGGATTTAATAAAACGAACGGTACTCATTTTTTTTTTTCCTCCAGCTCTTTTTTAGAGTTATGCTTGTAGATCTGAAATACTTTGATGTTATCAAACGAAAATTCAAAATTGATTACCGCGCCTAACGTTTGAAGTGAATATCGTTCGATGATTCTCGGGGGGTTTTCCTTCTCATCACTATTCAAAATGATAAAAAATTTGATAAAATCATCGGCTCAAAATTTAAATCGTTCGTTCCTTTGGTACGTTATACATTTCCCGCGTTGCGCAGCGGCTGCGCCAAAATATCAAGATCATCAACTAAATTTCCGTCGTTCATTAATATTCGTCATTGTCGGCAAAATAACATTAAATTGATAAGTTTCATCTTATCTTTGAAAGATTCAAAATTGATAATGAACTTTTCGATTTCGCTTAATCTCTTGATTTTTTTTCGAGTTCATCTAACTATTCTAACTATGGAAAATAGGGCTATTTGAAGATTATTATTATACTGTACCTTTGATCTTTTATCAACTGATAATCAAAAAGTAATCATGAGATGAAATCTAACTATTGTGATAAGAATTTATTTATTACTAATACATTACAGCATTAAAGTTACATAAGTGCATAGGTGACATTGTGACTAAGTAGGTGATGTGACGACGATGGCCCACTAACCTCGCTTGTACCTTCAAATGTGTCACCACATTATAACCGAAAATTTGTATAATATAATGATGTATGATGTATGATCTATTTATAATCAAAAAAAAAAAATCATTATTTAATTACAAATATATAAATTATTTTTTTTTTAAAAAAAAAAAAATTTTTTTAACTACAAAAAAAAATTTTTTTATAAAGAGAAAAAAATTTTTTTTTTAAATTAACCCAAAAACTTTTGAAACAACAAAACCAAAATCTTGTTTCTGTTGTCACCCCATTCTACAAAAAAAAAAAAATAAAAAAAAAATAAAAAAAAATTCCTATTTTATATAAAGTACAACCTTCCGTTTCTTCAGTTTCTTCTCCGTCTTTGCTTGTGACCATACGATCTAAATCTCCCCTACTCTTTATCGTCTTACTCCTTTATTACACGCCAAAAATAAAAACTTATTTTATTACATCTACATAAAATACATATATAAATAAATTTCTATATATTACTTTTTTTTTTAAAAAAAAAACCCCCCACTTTTTTTTTTTTTCACGATAATGTGTCCGAGTCATTTGCAAGAGAAAATTATCCAATTAAATGTTTTGTTTAAGGAATCCGATACCGTAATCGATGACTTACAAGCTACACTCGTTGATTTCCTCTTGGAACTTCAAAAAGACTTGGACCTAGACTTCGTTCAAGTTGAACGTATAAGACAATATCTCAATGACAGAGGTAACGGTTTTAACACGAGAAATCTATTTGCGTTTTGCTAATTGTAGTGATTAATCATTATCTATTCCCTAAACGTTAGGCACTCTATTTCGTTTCCTTAGACGAGCTGGTTTCGATTTCGATTCAGCCTTGAGAACTCTCAAATCCGACTTACGATGGCGTGTGGAAAATAATGTTGACACCATTTCTCTCGCCGACGTTCATCCATTATTTGTTGAAAAAGGATTATTCTTTTTTCATAAAACCGATAAATTTGGCCGTCCCTGTGCAGTGTTCAACTTGCGTGAATACAAGCGTGACGATGGATCTCCTACTATTGAAGAGGTGAAAAAATTTATCATTTATAACGCGGAAGTAGCCAGAAGGATGCTATTGGACAGGACTAGAGAATCAAGAGATGGACCGGTTCTGCAATACGTCATCTTGTTAGATTTGAAAGGAGCCGGGGTTTCCACTTTGGTAATTATCATATCGTAATTTTTCTCACGCAATTTAGATCGTCAGACCGATTTGTTTAAAAACAATTCATAATTATTTTTCCCACGGAAATTTTTTTTTTAGGATCTGGAATTGGTCCCGTTTACGATCGACATCATGAGGCACCATTTTCCTGGTTCTGCGGGATCAAGTATGTATTTTTTTTTTTTCCGGATTTTTCGGATCCGAAATCGTATTAATAATAATCCATTTCTATTCTATTTTTGAACCTAGTATTCATCCTAAATTATGGGTGGATGTACTCGGGCATTTGGCAAATTGTCAAACGTATCCTTCCCGAAGAATCCCTAAACCGTATCTTTTTTCCCTCGGAGAAGGAAATTTGGAATTATTTCGATGAAGAAAATGTGCTTATAGGTATGTCACATTTACGTCATTTTATTACGTCACATTTTACGCTGACGTATTGTTTCCTTTTATAGAATTTCATATGGAATAAATAAAAACAATTATTAACATTTTCTATTTTTATAGAACAAGGTGGAAAAGATACTTATGAATACGATTCGGAAACTTGCGAAGCGTTCAGATTTTATGGAAATCCATCACCTGTATTACAAATACCTTTGAGCAGAGCAACATCTTTTGACTCTTTGCATGACGTATTCTATTCCGCGCATAATACTCCATTTCATAGTCGTCCATCAACTCCATTTTTCAGTAGACCAGCCACCCCACACGGAAGCCGGCCGGGCACTCCCGTTTCCAGCCGACCCGCATCACCCGGTTTGGATCACGTGGCTGTCCCGAATTGGTTAAAAATGACGCCACGTTCACGCTTCATACCTCAACTTCATTCATTTACTCCTATCGACAACAATATCAATCACAATAGAAACAATAATACCATCTTATCACCTAGACCCTTAAAACCAATATCACAAAGAGTTTCCCCCATGGCATCTCCTAATCTTCGATTTACCGTCATCGATCAGGAAGTGCCCGCATTAACGTCGCATAACCCCCTTAATCAACATCTCCCCTCCATCACACCTATATGTAAGACAACAAATGAGGACAATGACTCTCATTTTGATCTCCATCATACTCATCATGTTCATTTTCAAGTCGATGAAAATCAACAACAATTGCAACATCCTAATGATGATGATGGTTCATCACCAACCCATCGTCACAATTATCTTTCAATCATACGATCTAGAAGCGTGCGTCGCGTAAAGCTTTTCTTCACGAGATTATTGAGGAGATTAATCGCACGCAGGGTGTCAGGATTTTTATATTACCTAGTTATGGTGGTTTTATTACGCGGTGGCCTAATGGACGAATTCCTGAGATTGGTTACACAACAGGTTACCATGCAATTGAGCTGGAATGCAAGCACCGCAACGAATTTAACGACTGCACTTTTATCTGCTGCTCTGAGTGGACGAAATGGTAACCGCCTTTTAAGAACGTGATCGGGAGGCGATTATGTGTAATTCGTTTTGTATGAGTAGTGAAGGATGGACTTTTGAAAGTTGATATTCTTATCGTTTTATCGAATAAAAAAGAGGTGAATGATTGGTGAAGTTGATATGAGTTGTGAATGAGTATTATCGCAACTGTCAAAAGTTTATGATTAATTTTCTATGGATTTATTAGGCTTACAAGCAAAATCTATAAAACCAAGAATATTTATTAAAAGCTGACAATTTTATATCAAGATTATATAAACGAATTAAATCCTTAAAACAACATAAAAAAAAAAAAAAAAAAAAAATTTATAGAAAAAAAAAATTTATAACTAATACACAAACATATAGCATTCAACCCCCCCCCCCCCCCATAATTATCATAATTTGAATTAACTAACATACAACAAAATATAAAAGTTGTCAGCAATTAAAATATATAGTAATAATATACATATGTAGAAACCTTTTTTTTTTTCTTGTTTTTTTTTTTAAAATAAAAAAAAAAAAAAAAAGTAAATATTACCACCCTTTACATAAATAGTGTATAGTCTTTTATTAGTAAATAGTATAGTTTTTAAAAAATCACTAATTTTTTTTCTCATAGAAGAAACAAACAAAAAAAAAAAATTAAAGATAATTAATAAAAAAAAAAATAAATTCCGTTTCATTTGCAAAATATGAGTATTCTCACAAATTTACATTTACGTTTCATTCACTATTGTCCGATACAAAAAAAAAAAAAAATTATAAGCTGCACGTGAAAAAGCAATACATTGATTAATAATATTTTATTTTTCATTTTCATGAAAATTTTTTTTTGTTAAACTATACAAATATATGGGACCTTTGCAATAGAGAGGGAAATACTGCCGGAAAGAAAAAATCCAATTTTCCTTTATAAGACAATATGATTTTTAGGCCAAAATATTAGCATTAAATCAATTTTTTTATTTTTCCATTGCAAAGGTACCCCTATGATGCATATTTGATATTACATTATGAGAATGTTCTTGTAAGCTCCATGTGGATACGCCAGTTGACTTAGTGTCATCACCAATGGAAACCTCACCCACTCTTCTTCCAAGCATTCTTTAACATGAAAACTGCAAAATCGTATCTGGTGACCTTACACACACGAAATACCTTTTGTGGTGTCATACGTAATCAAAATGAAACAACAAAATTAGGAATCCTAACCTTTATTTAGTAACAGACAAATTCAATAATAAAATTAATTACAAGTGATATTCAAACCTTGTAATCATCCCCATTGTAAACACGCTGAAAAGTCACTGCCTGATCATCGCTATACTCCAAGGTTTCTTGCCCACGCGAACTTATTAAGGAGATGAACATCAAAAAACTGCTATATGTATTGTCATTATTCTTGTTATTCAATGAATATAAAGAAAACTAGAATTTATTACTAAGAAAACTTTGCGCTTGCCCAAGTTCTTTCTCATAAATGAGGATCGTTTTGAGAATTACATTGAGAAAATCGAAATAATTTGCAATTTAATCGTGCAAAATTGAAAACTCATCATCACTTCGGGATAGAATAAAGATTGATATTAGTATAAACGAATTTCATAAAATACGTTATTTATATCGTTATATTATTCGTAAAGGGATCCAAAGCAAGGAATACGAAGGGAGAAACTAGAGTCAAATCTTTTTGACAAGTTCTAGTAACAGGGAAAAATGAGATAATAAAATCAAAAAAGGTTTATAAAGTGGTTACGTAAATCAATATATGTAAGTAAATCAATAATAATAATAATAAATTTGTTACATTTATATTTAAATATATATTTTTATTGATAGAACCGGAAATCTTTAGTTGAACCCGTTTAAATATGTTTTTTTCAAATTATTGGCTAACTGATCAAATCGAGTTTTGTTTTCTCAATAACTGAATCCACTGGATTGCAAACAAGTTAAACAAGTTTGACATTTCCGATTTTAAATTATGTTTTAGAACTCCGAATCTTGATCCAAATAGTTTATCCATTTAAATAGTAAATCAATTCACGAATTTGAATACTATGACTTTTTTACGTTTCTTTTCTGTTCATTTTCTTTCTTTTCTTTTTTTTTTTTCGCTCGCAAAGTTGCTTTTGTTACCCTGATAAAAGATTCTTAAATGTCATCTCAACACGTTCAACTACAGTGCGCTCGTCTAACTGAAAATAATTTAAGGGAACATACCGAAAGCTTCGTGAAAAGAAAATCCCTCCAAGAACAATCCATTTTAGATTATGTTCTGGAGCAGAAACAAATAAATTATGAAGAGTCACAACAATCATATGATGGTACTTCTCCGTTTAATAATTTTCTGTCATTCATTTACCAACTTTGTCCTCATTTTGATTTAAAACAGACTATTCGTCTTCGGATTCTGAAACAAGTCGTAAGACTACGCTTTCGGGTTATTCGCGATATTCTGTTGAAGATAATCTATCTTCAATAAATAGTTCGCTTCTTATCTCGAGATCTCGTTTACGAAAATCAAAGAAATCTGAAACACCCGAGATTAAACAATCCAAACCCTGCTCAAAACAAAGGGCTAGAAAGATCATTCTTGAAAGGAGATCTCCATTGAGGGAAACATCATTAAACCAGCGACGTAGTAAGCATGTACAAAAGGAAAAGGACCAAAGGAACAAAAAATTCTCTAGAAAAGAAAAGGACAAATCTTCGAAAAATCATTCGCGAAGTGCTATTAAGACGAACCGTCGTAAAAGTCGTAAAAGCAGAGGTTTGCTCGCTAGTTCTCAAATAATGCGGGTATGAGTATGTGAATTTCTAGTACAATGATATTTTTTTCAATTCTACAAAAAAATAAATAAAAATATTTATTTACTAATTAACACAGAATTGGTTTTCGGATAAACTCGGGACAGATCGCATAACTGTAATTATATTCATAATTACCTTCTTGTCAATTATTTACTATTTTAAACTTTTACCTTATAATTGTTTTTTTTTTTATCAACACGATTTTAACAGCTCCAACCGAACAATAAAGCTAGAGTTGGGATATTTAATAAAGGAAAAGCATCGGAAAAAGTAAAATCCAGAGGAGGTAAAATTTTGTGATGTAATACTTACATTTGGTAGTCACGTCGTTTTAATTCGCTTATAGTTCCTGATCTAGTATTCTCCGAAATCGATTTTCTCAATTCGAATCCATCACGTAAACGAATAAATCAAAATAATGATGATTCCCATCAAGGTAATTGTTCTAGCCGTGTTTATCACAAAAACTGATATATCAAAAAAGTTTCATCAAATCGAGCAAGATGTGACTCAAAATTCATCATAAGATACAGATGAAACTTCAGATTCTGACCACCATAAGAGTCTCAGGAATTCAACAAAGAGGGTAATTATTTTAAATTTTATTTCTAAATGTGTTTACGTTAAATTACTAATTTATCTTTATAGATAAAGAATAAACAAAAGGAACCGAAAGTACGAGGAAATCTATCAAACAGTAAACATTACAGTAAGTCAAACTGGTCACGGTTAATTCGAATGGGGTCGAAAGATATTCCCTTGACAGTTTCATCTCGTTGTTTTTTTTTTATTAGGTGAAGTGAAGAGTACATCTTCAATTAATAGTCGATATCTTGACAATGATTGTAAATCTAGTTTGGGATCAAACGACAAAGGGGAAATGAACGCGTCGTCCATGGGACACGCGCGTGTCGATAAAATGCCCAAATTTAAGGCCAAGAAAAATGAAATATCCTCACATTTTGTTAATGGTCAAAATTATAAGAAGCCATTTAAATATGCTTTACAAAATGACAAAAGATTTCCTCCATCTAATGATATTGGACGCACAGTTAGTCCTGAATCATCATCAACATCACGTTCTTATTCATACCATAAAGCGTCTCGATCTAGGAAAGAAAAGAAAGTTACGTCATCTTATTTTGCTAGCAATCAAGCCAAAGATTGTTTAAATGAATGTACACCGAAAGATAAACACAAACCGACTGAACAAATAGATAAATTTTATCCTGTTCAGACGGTCGATTCGTTTCGTGCTGTTGATGCGGAAAAGCAATCTCAAATTGGTAATTATCAAGAAGATTCTAAAGTTGATAAAATTGCACCCAAATATGAAGAATCGTCTGGGAAGGTGCCTATGAAATTAGATGAAGATTCAACCTGTTCGCAACGATGTTTGCCAGTCAATAAAGGTACGAAGGATCCACAGAATAATCATACGACATTGACAGAAGAAAATGATAGTGAAAAAATGCACTCTAGAAATTCTGACAGTGAGAAAATGGTTGTAGATTTTAATCCCTCTTGGATTAAACGAAAATCATTACTTTTGAATAAATTATCAAAATTGCAGAATCAAAATACGGCTAAAAGCAATGAACATCAAAGTAGTCAAATATATCGTGCAGTAATTGCTGAAGGTGCAAAGATTGAACGATCAAATATGACCACTGGACTTGATCAAGGTCTCATTGATTTATCCAAAGATAAAGAAGAGGAATTAGAAAAATTTCATAATAATTCATCTAATATTGAACTTGGAAATAATGTTAATGTTAAAGATGATGGAAAAATCTGTCAAGAAATATTTGCAAGAGATGATCATATGTATGTCGACTTATTCGACGAGCCTATTCAAAGTAAATGGACTTATCAAGAAAACATTAATGACACTCGTCATAAAGATCGTAGTAAATGCGATACCGCCGAAAATACCGATGATCAATTAACTTTAGACATGCAATACAAAAGTAATAATGCGTTAGTATACGGAGGTATAGGTCATGAAGGATCCTTTGAAGATTCTAATATTTACCCAATTCCTACATCTTTTGAAGATCATCAGTATTGGATTCCTTCAAATGAATTTCCCATGTGTGATTCTCGTATTATACCACAAACGTCAATGATGGAAAATCAGGTCCCATGGAACTGGATGCTTCAATACCAACACAATACAGATGTAATACATGCAAATAATAACTCATCTGTAAATAATTATGGGCAAACTTGGGAAGATAGTATTGACAATTCACTATACATTGATACGGAATATCCAATGTACGACGAAAATAACTCAACTTCGCATAACGACATTGAAGGAGTAAGAAATGGTGAGACCAATATCGCAGCCTGCTTTGTCTGGAAGAAACATCGGTTACATTAATAATTTAGGAATTTAATCTAAATCTACATGTAAAATTTTTAGTTGTACCGTAAGTAATCAAATGCATGATTTTAACTTTTACTTTATCAATATATTTTCTAATAACTTTTAACTCGTTAATACAAAGTTGAAATCTGTTAAACAACGCCACTTGTTAAAAAATATAAATAATAATATCTTTTAAAAAAAAACGCGTTTTGTAATAATCTTTAATCAAAATAAAAGATTTGTTTTTAAATAAGATTCCCTACCTGCAAAAAAGTCATTAGATTTAATTTAGCCTGTTTTTCCTGTTTTTTTTCTACTACTATAACAATTTAATTCGTTTAATTTCTTTTCTTTTTATCATTTAATTATTTATATTATTTTACTAAATTAACTTTCGTTTTATTTTGTTAATTTATAGCATAGCAAATAGTTAGTAAAATAATTTTATATAAATTGCCACTTTTTACTAAAGTTATAAATTAGGTTTAAAGCTTAGAAACTTCGAATTTTTATGTGAGTTTTAGTGAGTTTCAAGTTATAAAATAAAGGAATCAATTAAAAATATATAAAATACTTTTTCTTTCAATGTTATCCTTTATTTAGTATTTAATTATGATATATTATATACTAATTTGCTTTTGAGTTTATTATTGAGTTTGACTAATAAATTTTAAGTTTTAAAACATAAATTACAAAGTTGATTCAAAAATGTCAGATATCTATAGGACTAAAAAAATTATCTTAATTATTTTTTTTTTTTAAAAATAAATTATTGTCTGAATTTTATTTATTTTATTATCTTGGTTAAAATAATTAGATTTACTAATAATAAAAAAATGTAAATGATTAATTCTTTAAATTTGAAATGTCAGATTTATCAGTTAAGCTTTTTTTACCTAATTTCTTTTAATAATATTTTAAAATAAAAAATATTTACTAATAAAAAATCTATTAAGTCAGTTAAAAATACTTTTTTTTATGATTATTATTTGATTTGATGATACTATTAACAGAATAATAATTAATAATAGTTATATAGTATTTTTAGGGATTTTAAGATCAAAGAATTTAATTATACTTATTTTTCTTTTTAAATAATTGCATATATTTTTATCTTTAATATCAATTTTACATTTAATGCATATTTTTTTAAATATAAAACAAATGATATAATCATTCAATTGCTTATTATTGTATCAATTTTTCTTAAACTATAACTAATAAAATAAAGTGTTTTATTAATCTAATAAATATTATATAATTTAAAACAAAAATATTACAATTAAGACTTTAGTTAGTTAATAAATAAAAATATAGTTAATTTTTTTTAAAATTGCAAACTATCTCTTAATGCAATAAATATAAAAATCTAAAAAAAAAAAATGTTTTAATAAGCTTAAAGAAACATTAGGATTTAAAATTTTATAACAAATAATCAGATAAACTTTATCAATTAATAATATATCTATAGGTTTTATTTCTTAATATTCTTCTTTTTTTATATTTTTAAAAGATCATTAAAATAAGTATACAATCTAAAAAATCAGTTTTATTATATAAATTATATTTTCAATTTGATTTGGTATTTGCAAATATCTGCTAATTATAGATATAGTATTTTTTAAAGAAATCTTTATACTTTTTAATAGTTATACTGCAAATAAATTGTATAATTTAAAGTTTAATAATGTTTTGATTTTTGATTTTTAAAAATATTCATAATAAACATTTAATTTTTATTTGTTTTATTTATGATTTTAACTTATTTTTAATATTTATTATTGTATTTTTAAATACTCTACCTTTATCAAATATTACAAATTATTTAAAAAAAGATAAAAACTTATTAATGAAAATTTTATATTATATTATAAAAAATAAAAGATAAATCAAAATAATAAAATGAATATATAAAAATCATCATATAACTATAATACTATTGTGTTTTATAATAAGTAAAATTGTTAATACTCTATTTAACAAATTTTTCAATTATATTACTTTTGTAAATATCATAATTTCTTAACACTAAAGTGTTAACTTAATTAACTATTAATTATTTATTAATACTGGTTTTAAATATAATCATAATTATAAAAAATTTTATATTAAACCAAAAAGGTTATTATATGATTAAACCAAATTGTTAATTTTCCATCAATAAATTCAACCAATGAAAATTCGTGACTGGATAAAATCTAATATAATTGATATTTATTAATAATTTGTTATATATAGAACAGAAATAATAAACTATATTCGTACACAATCTATTCAACTTCTACAAAAGTCATCTTCAAATTAATTGACAATTGACGTCAACTATAATAGAAAACAATTCTAATAACGAAACAAAGAGTACAAATAATTAAACTACCACACGCTATATTAAACGGAAATTAGGAAGCGAAAAAAAATCAGACCCATTGAAATAAATGCGGCGTTTGTAATAATTACGATACGTAATAATAGGACTGAATATTTACATAGAAATTAGCAAATGAATCGAACAAAATCACTTGCCAACTATCATCCCTTATTTCCCCTTTATGTTTGGTAAGTACACCAAGAAAAAAAATATTCTTTTCTTCATGTCGTTAAATTTGCCTCTATCATAAGTGAATTTTCAATTAAAGGCAGAATGTGGACAAATCTTGGCGAGGTAGAAGTTTCAATGAATAATGATTCGGTTTTGAAACAAAATAACTGCATGTGGGATGAAACGTTAAAACGATTCTTTGAATGAAGCGCCTCCCTTTTGTTTGTGTTATACAATGAAAATCAACTTTGGAAATAATATCATTTCCATCATTTATGCTTCAACAAATGTTAAGGTTTCACCTTCGTCTAAAGTGAAAAAAAAAAGTAATGTTAAATAAAATGAAATATATTAAATCGAATTTAAATAATCAGAAATACCTATCATTGGAATAGGCAAAGCCTCCACCTCCGCCATGATGATGCAACATTCTACGACCTCTCTGACTAGGACGACGGTTACCAGTTTGATAGGAAACCTTCATTCCACTGTTAATTAAAGATTGCTCAAGAGCAATACGTTGGCTTTGCTCTTCTCTCTCCTCGTAATTTAATACCAACTTCTTAAGCTGTTGTTGTTCTTCACGCTCAGCTTCTTGTTTAGAGAGTGTATTGACAGCTAAAGCACTATCCGAAGGAACTTCCATTGTTTTCATTTGTTGTTTGTTTCCTTTCTTTGTTAATAATGTAAACGCAACACTACCATCCAAAAAGTCTGAAGCTTTGTCACCACCTTTTAGATTCATAGGTATCGCAACATCTAACATAGCGGGTTTGCGTTCATATTTACGGGACTCCATACTCTCGGTCATCATTTTACTGAATTCTCTTTCGAATTCCTCGTCATCTTCGGTAGAAATTTTTTCCTGTCTATTAGTATGAACAACAAGCTCATCATCTCCCTCTACTTCATTAACTTCATCAGTTTCAGCCTATAATCATATTAAAAGTTATTCAGTAATTTATAAAATAAAATATCTAGATAATAAAAACTTACCTCTTCAGATCCTTCCGCGTCGCCAAGTCTCCCATCTATTTCATCATCCTGAACTTCGTCGTCGTCATCATCGTCTGTAGATGACATTTCACTTTCTTCCATACCATCATCCTGAGCCCCTCGAGCATCTTGTAGTGCCTTTTGATTTTCTATAAGCATTTTATCTACTACTTCGGCAGCTTCTTCGTACGTCTTATATATTGTCATATTTGGCCTTAACATCTAAGAGATGTAATTCATTCATTAAAATTCATTAATTAATTAATTAATTAATTAGAAAGATTATAGATATTTGTTAGGATTAAATTATTTCACTTTTATACCTCAAATAAATCAGCAATCAGAAATTCAATATCCATAGAAGGTCTTTGCTTCGTAAGGATATACATCTATTAAAAAAAACCTAGTGTTAAAATATTTTTTAATCAATGAATTTCACGAGATAAAAGCTTACCTGGAAGAAAACTAAAAAATCATCCAAACGCTTTTTAGAGACTCCTCGATCAAAACATATGCCACAGGTATCGAGTAAAGTACAACATAAACGGATGCGAAAGAAGTCATTTGAAGCATCCAAATAATTAATACGATTTGGAGCAGGGCGACCAAATTCTTTTAAAAAGGAAATAATAATAAATATTGTTTGATCATTAAGTATAGAAAATCAATAAAGTGAATAATTTTACAGAAAAGAAATGACATATATAAGATACCATGACCCAAAGTGACGATGGAATAAAGGGTATCAAAAATAACAGGAGAATCTACCATCCGATAATTATAAAGTTCTCCTAGGTATTTAACAGTAGCAATACGACGCTGGTTATGCTTAAAAATGTTTTGCTAAAAAAAAGATCCACAAAAATTAGGATTACATACAAATATGTATATAATAAACCATTTTCATACAAACTTACTTCTAAACCAATCCTGATATCCTCGATAACTCTGTCAACTAATGTTACCCCAAAATCAGAATGATAACGATTCAAGCCTGAAGCCAGAACGGCCATTAAATGTATATTGCTATATTTGATCTTCCACACTTTGGAAAAACATTTTTCTAAAACTTTGTATACCTACAAAAATTGAATAAAATAAGTAATTGCTTACGAACACAACATATAAAATATTCTAAATTAAAGAATTTCTTACTTCTTTATCTTCCCAATCCAACTTTCGAAGCAGTTTAAGAATTTTCTCAACAGTTTTTTTGTTGAGATCGGAGTAAATCAGCTTACGAATGTATTGTTCCATAACTGATCGCTCTTTTTGAACGATCGCTGTTCGATCGGGAGGATTACACTAGATTTAACACAAATATTTAAACGAAATTAACTTAAGGTATTGATAGGAAAAGGTATTATCTATATAAAAGTCCTAGTACCTGATAATACGCGTTCTCAATCATCAAGAGATGACGATTATCAAGATGTTGAACGTTTTTCTTCCTCATCATAATATCCAACTAAAAAAG